AGCAAAATATGTACGATATATATGTATATCAAAGAAGATATGCTTGAAAGATCTCTTATATGTCGAGAACGGCTGAACTCTTTTCGACAGTTCTCATTAATTCAGAATGGCCTCTTGGCAGGAAAGAAAAAACGTCTAAAAAAATCGCAAAAAAAATATCTCTCTAAAGCTGAAAATATTAATTTTGTATCATTTTCTCATATTTTTTTCAATTTTGTCATATTTTTGGCATATTTTCATTTTGAATTAAACATTTGGTAATATTTCTACAGCTAACAAAACTAAGTAGTTAGGATATTAGGAAATCATATACAGATCGCATTTATGGACCGATCCTTACGAAATTTTGCATGGGCATAAGATGAGGGTCAGAATAGAAGCCTATTTTTTTGGAGATGATCGCCATATATTTAGGGGTTGAAATGGACCAAAAAACTGCAAAATTATCAGCAGGTTGTAATTATCGCCCGATCCTCAGGCACATTTGAATGGGGGTTACCGGACATTGCAAAAGCCAAGCAGTTTTGAATGGCCATCCAAAAATATTCAATGTGTGGAATAGTTTGCCAACTTTTGTAGACAAAATACGAAAATGTCCATTACAGTGACTTCTTGGAGAATTCACAAATACAGGAAAGACGCACTTCTGCACGCACTATTTCGTTAACGCTGATTTAGTTGAAGAATATAGTCAAATGTCTGTATCTCATATAGATGCGTTTCTTTTGCCACATCTGAGAGATTATAGGTCTTTGGGAAATATTGGTTCCAGATTTAGGAAGACCATTTACGTGCAACATCTACCAATAAATTGGAAATGAACAAATTGGTTTAAGTTGCTATTATTCGAGAATTAGAGAACGAAACCTGATGGTTTTCTTTTATTATTTGTCACAATATATTGTGAAATTCTTTCGAGTATCTCGCCTATATAAACTGTATCGTTTATTATAGTGTTGTAGGGTATTCAACGGTCGGCCCCGCTCGACTGTAGCCTTTGCTTACTTGTTTTTGTTATAGCGTTGTTGTATTTCACCCCCTCTTCACCGTCTCTCACCAATATTCCCTCCTCCTCTGCCGTACATTTTATGCCATACAAACCATATTTTTCCCTCATTTTCTCTCTTACAACAAACTCTCCATTTTGAGCGATTCAGCTCCCACTATATTTTTTTCGGTTTGTCTTGCTCTTCTCGGTAATATTGGATTGACGTGGTCACATTTCTCCATTAGATAATGTCGGAGTCACAGCAGTCGGATATACGCTTGTCTAAGATGTCAAATGAAATGATCCTGTCTGGAAATGAGCTCTGGAAAAAATCGCAGGAAACGAACGAAAACGAAGGATTTTGAAAGAATACTTTTGAAAGGCCAATAGAGATTTTGTGAATTTTTAAAAAATATTTTGTAGAACAATGAGGTGAAAACGCGAATTTTTATACCCTACAACACTATGTGTTGGGGGTATTATAAGTTTGATTGGGCCAAAAATTATGTAACACCACGAAATATTGATTTCCCACATAGGAAAGTATATATCGATCTTCCTATCTCGTCCGTCCGTCTGTCCGTCTGTCCATGTTAATTTGTAATCACTCTACAGGTCGCAATTATGGTCCGATCCTCACGAAATTGAAAATGGAGGTGGGGTTAATGTCAGAATAGAACCCTATTTCTTTTGATGATGATCGCATAATATTTAGGGGTTGAAATGGACCAAAAACTGAAAAATTTCCTGATTTTGCAGTTGCTCTACAGGTCACAATTATAGACCAATCGAAGCGAAAGTTAGCATGGGGCTAGAACTTTGGGCTGGGCAGAAGCTTTATAATTTTGATGGTCGTCGAGTAATATTTAGTGGGTGAAATAGACCATAACATTTGTATTAAACAAAAGCCAAATTTTCCATTAAACCGCGAATATTTTTAATTCCGGCGAAATCACAAGTAGACGAACAGGTCAATTCTGACTGTTACGTAGATGTCGATAGTAAATATATCGGATATATATAGCCATATAATGAAGTGTATATTTTGTAAAATTTGTTTCACCTTACAACACAGTTTAGTGTTATTTTATACAGATTGCAATAATCGTCCGATCCTCACGAAAATTTTCACAAGGCTCAGAAGGGATAGTCCTATTGTTTTCTATGATGTCCGCAATATATTTAGGGGTTGAAATGGACCAACAACTAAAAATGTTACTGATTTTGCAGCATTTATAAAAGCCACAAATGGAATGAAATTAGAGTTTAGGACAGCGGGTAGTATGGACCACTACTTTTGCGTCAAAAAATAACAACATTTCCATTCTACCGAAACGCTGAAAATAACTTGCATCCGAAATCAAAAATACACAAAAGACGAACTTCTGGCTTTTTACGCTGATTTCGTTGATGAATATAGGCAAATATCGTAGAAAAACAAATTATATAGATAAGACTAAATTTAGAGATACAGAGCAGCCTCTTGCTTTTGAAGATGATCGCAAAGTATTTAGGGGTTCAAATGAATAGGCTTCTAACATATTTTAGTGTAGTAGGGTATCACATGGTCGGCTCCGCACTACTATAGCCCTTGCTTACTTGTGTAAAAACGCGATTTTTTAAGAATATTTTTCAGCGACCTACAGAGTTTAAACATGAATTTTTAATAAATAGTTTTGAAGGATCTACAGAATTTTTAAAGATTATTTTTGAAGGACCTACAGAGCTATTAACGTGGACTTTTAAAATAATATTTTTGAAGGACCTACAGAGCTATAAACTTGGATTTTTTTAAAAAATAGTTTTGAAGGACCAAGTGGCTATACATGTGGACCTTTTTAATAGTTTTGAAGGACTTACGACTTTTTGAGCGACCTACAGACTTTAAAAATGGGCTTTTAATATATAATTTTGAAGGATCTACAGAACATTTAAAGATTATTACTGAAGGACCAATAGAGCTATTAACATGGATTTTTAAAAAAAATATTTTTGAAGGACGTACAGAGCTATAAGCTTCGATTTTTTTAAAAAAATAGTTTTGAAGGACCAAGTGAGCTATAAACGTGGATCTTTTTAATAGTTTTGAAGGACTTACTACTTTTTTTTTCTACTACAATTTTACTCAAATGTATATTATGTCTGCAGGACTTTTGGTATTGATAATGTGTGATGTAGGTCCACGTTTTGGTATAGCTCGAGTATAATGGTACCCCCCTTTTTCAGTATTTTGAAGATTTTAGCGACATCATTAACCGGAATTGTTTTAAATTTGATATTTGAAGTTCGTAACAGATGTTACAGCCTATGGCAGAAAATGGTCTGTGCAAGTCCACGTTTTCATATAGCCCTATATAACGGTAACTCCCGATATTCGGTACTTTGATGATTTTAGCGACATTATTCAACGGAATTGTTTCAAATTTGGTATTTGATATTCGTAATGGGTACTACAGCCTATAACAGAAATTTTCTGTGCAGGTCCACGTCGTCGTATAGCCCCAATATAACGATACCTCCCTATTTTCGGAATTTTGATGATTTTAGCTACATTATTCACCATTTTTTATTTAAGTTTCGCATTTGAATATTGTAATGGTTTTTGACAAAAGTTGCCTATGCAGGTCCACGTCTTCGAATAGACCCCAATATGTCGGTTATATTCGATATTTTTAAGATTTTAACAGAATTTTTGGTGAATGTTATTTTTTGTATAAATTGCCAAAATCGTTCAAAATGGTGGAGGATATTCAAAGATCGGCCCGGCCGAACTTACAGCTTTTTTTACTTGTTTAAGTTTATATTGGAGATGTTGATTTTTTTGAAGAATTTATTTTTGTAGGACCTAGTGTATAAACGTATAAAGGACTTTTTTCAGACCTTCAAAGCTAAGACACAAGTATTTTAAGAATATTTATGGAGGTACAACTGGAGTATATTTCTAGATTTTTAATATGATGTACCTAAGGATCAAAAGAACCGCAAACGCGGCCAATATACATACTATTGTGAGTTTTTTAAATATTTTCTAATGGCCAATATAGCTATAAACGTAGATTAAACAATTAAAAAATCATCTAATTCCGGGACGAACTTTCACCATTTGGAAGGAACTTGTAAAATGTAAGAAAACTACATTGAAAAATAGCGCTATAATTTTAAAAATTCGATATATCATACAGTTATACGGCGTTATAAGAAATCCAATTATCTGTCAGTTGTTTTTTTTTTTTTTTTTTTTTTTTTTTTTTTTTTTTGGAAAATGTACTTAAAATCATCAAATACCTCATAGAGAGAGGTACCGTTCTATGGAGGCTATACGAAGGCGTGAATTTTGCATGGAAATTTTTCTGAAGCAGTATCAACTGCGAACTCCAAATACCGAACTTGAACTATTTGTGGTGAAAATTGTGGCTAAAACCAAGAGAATACCAAATATAGAGAGCTACAGTTATGTGAGGGCTGTACGAAGACCTGGACCTGCACAGCCAATATTCTGTCAAAAATGCTAGTACCCATTGCACAGTGGTCGCTGCCATTGGCCAAAATTTAAAAAATGAAAATCATCAATCAAATATGTACAAATGAACTCTTAAGGGGTTAAGCTTTTTAGAAAACATAATAATCTTGACTTCATTCTAAAGGGACACTTCGAAAATAGCATCAAAAAGGAGAAAATGTACACAGAGAAAAAAATTAACCTTATACAAGGTTAGCTTAACCATAAATAAACATGATTTGGAGTCTACGTTATGTAAGGTTAATTTAAACATTTTCTTGTTGACTGGTATTTAAAAATAATCATCGTTAATTTAGCTATTCCATGATTGACTTTTTTAACCACGAAAATTGTTGATATTGAAAAAAAATTGTTGTTTTAACAATGCACTGTTAAATTTTTGTAACCATGAGAATTGTTAATAATAACATTTCATAGTCAGTTTGTCTAAACAGTTCATATGATAATTTTTAATAATAAATTAACCTTTGTTTGAATAAAACAAGAAAAATGTAATTTTTACAAGTTTATTTATTATTTATTTATTAATACCGCATATTTCTAAAATATGTATTTCCATTACAAATTGTATGTATATTTAAGGGAGTGCTGGTAAAGAAAGATTTTAAATTATATTCCTCAGCCATTGTGAAAAAAACTACAAAACGCCAAACACCGACTGCAAAAACAGAAGAAGAAACTAGTAGTTAATAAAAGCAAATAGTATTGTCACAACTTACCAAAAATGTACGCACGAGCACCCAAAAAAAAGACACCAGAGAAAAAAACAACTGAGAAGAAAAAACAAAAAGATATACATAAATATGAACACTGTCGCTTCAACAACAACAACGTACATTTGGTGACAAATGCATACGCTAATGTACGTCGTAGCAGCCACAAGCAAAGACAAAAAGAACACATATGTATGAATAAACACTCACACATTATTTCTCTCCTCATTTTTGCTTGTCGCTGCATATTCGTTGTTGTTGCTTGTTTTTTTCATGTATTACCGTTATTTTTGTTTCTTTATTGTAATTTATAGTTTATTTGATAGACAAATTTGATACAATTTGAATATAGCAATAACACATTACTATGTTGAAATAGTATCAGGGTTTTCTATTAAAACAAATACAAATTACAATCAAATATATTTGTTAATTTTACCAGCTTTTACTTACCTTTATACCAAGCACTATTCCCACGAGCACGTGCACTACTCCCTTGCACTATTCAACACCAACTAAAGAAATGATTGTCTATTTGATCTTTCTTACACATATTCAGACCACAGAAAGAGATTCGATAAAGAGGAGAAGGGGGAATATGACAGTCACATTCGTTGCAACTTCGTATATTGTAATATTGAACTTCGTCAAACACAAAGCAGTTCAAAATTGTTGACCACAAAAATTTTTATGTATCTCTCACATTTTTCCGTCTCTCTCAAAAAACAACAACCTTATACAACGTTAATTAAACTATTTTTCATCTACATTTGACCTTATATAACGTTATTTTGTGTTTGTAATCTCAAACATTTACCATGAAAAAATTAACCATGCACATGGTTAAAAAAGTCATTGTATTTTCGGCTCTGTGTAGTTAGTTGTTTTTTTCAGTGGGATCAGAGAAAAAGTGGAGTAAAAATAGAACTGTATTACAAAATTAAATACATTTTAAAATTACAACTCTTGGCATAATTATTGAAAAGCAAGGTATTAACTTATTTTAAGTGCAGTAATTTGTATGTTTAGTATATGAGTATAATATAGAAGATGTGAGTGTTCTGAGTCGCCTATAAGATTAAGTTTGAAAATAGTAATGGTCCTAAGATTCTAAAAGTGCTAATTTAACATTCAGATTTTGTTACATGTGTACGTTATGCCCCATATACTGAAGTGACTTCGCTGCAATTTTGTCAGTTCTATGGTGCTAGTGACATAGAATATGTTTTTGTTGTTAGGGATTGAAAAGGATGTAATTGAGGGGTGTTCAATAATGTTGCAAGCATTGTCCTCTGGGTATAATATTTAAGTCGAACAATTTAAGGCCTTTGTACTGGAAACTGCTAAAGAGTTAACAAATTTATATCCATTGCACTATCTTCCAAGTTTCGACTAAATCATAATGGGACATCGAACTTTACCAAACAATAACCAGTAAAGAAAGTCTTAAAGTCGAGCGGGGCTGACTTCATGATACCCTACACCACTTTGCATATTTAGTAGAGCGTCACATAACAAATAAAGGTTTTAATGGGGAATTTGTGAGAATTAAATCATACAAACAATGATTATAGTAATAATTAAAAGTCCAAAGGAACTAATATATGGGAGGAATGTCCTTCTCTGAATCGATTTATATTAAATTTGTCGAGGCATTTGCCCCTTTTCAATTCGGGCTTGTATTATCCATTTGGTGCACAATTAACTTGAAATCGGATAGATATATATGAGAGCTATATCTTAATTTGATTTGGGCTAATATTACATGTTTGGTGCACAATAAAAGGCAAATCGGACGAAGATATATATTTGAGCCATGTCTAAATATTAACAGATCTCGATAAAATTTAGGAAGGGTATTTCTGATATATATTTGATATATAATACCGTTGTTACAGAGTGCATATTACGGCTGCGGAGGACAAAAAAAAACAAATCGGATGAACAATATACATATATGTGAGCTATATATATATATATATATATATGTATATCTGAACCGATTTCGATCAAATTTGGCATAATTATTTTCAGGCCCCATCTGGTCGTATGTATATTCTATACTATTTGGGCTAATTTTACAAGTTTGCTGCACAATATAAGGCAAATTGGATGAATATATATGGAAGCTATACCTAAATTTTTACCGGTTATATCCAATTTCAATAGGGCCTTAAGTCAAACTAATTATTTGTGCTAAATTTATCTTTGATTTAATTTTACATTAAATTGTTATTTTATTTTGTTTACAAAAAATAATCAAATTTGGGAAATAAATAGAAATGTGACAAGAATTGGGCAAATAACCCTTATTCGGGAGGTACGTTATATGGGGACCATGCTAAAACATGCATCGACCATATCCATTTTGTCACATTTTTTATATTTATCCCATAACCAAAGATTCATATTGATATCTGCACTGACATTTTTTTGGCCGCTGTTCCCATAAGACCTCGACCACTGTGCATTGGGAACTTCAGATACGAAATTTGAAACAATTCTGATGAATAATGTGGCAAAAATCAACAAAATACCGAATATAGAGAGGTACATTTATATGGGAGCTATACGAGAACTTGGACCTATATGTACAATTCTCTGCAAGGATATTTTTTCATATACTGGGAGCACATAATCCCAATTTGCAGAAAACTCGGTTTGAAATTGTGGTTAAAATCCCAAAAAAAAAAAAAAAAAAAAAAAAAAAACTTAAATCTGTTAGTATAGTATTTGCTGGCTATACCAAATCGTGGACCTATGTTGCCCAGTTTCAAGGAGTCTCTTCCACTGATGACATCAAAATAATGACTTTTCTTGAGGTTATCTGTAGCGGAATTATATTAAAAGATATTGTTATATGGTATGATATGAAACAGATATAAAACGCAGCGACTATTCATTTATCCGACTTTCTCAAATCGTTCCATGGTTGGTTGGTTGATTCCCCCGTTTGCAGAGGATATATGATGGTTGTTATTTGTCAACGGGCACGTGAACTGATGTTCTTCTACAGTGAGCATTTATCAAACTTATCGGCATTTCCCATAAAGTTTTTTTTCCAGTAGAACATACAGAAGACCCAGAATAAATCACAATTCCAATCTTCCACCTTAACTATGATCTATCATTGCTTGCTTCCTCCATTCCCACATTTCATTCGGAAAACACACAAATTGCATTAAAACCTCAAACTCAGACTGGCAACTAATTAGCGTTTTTCGTTTTCTTTTTCGTTCACACCAATTTTTGACGCTTCATACTAATAAGGCAACACTCAACCTAGAACCAGAACCTGTCGATCGAATAGCATATGTCAGTGGAAAAAGAAAATTCCCGTGCACCACAAATAAAGTGTCAAATAATGAGTAAATGCTCAACTGATATGATAATGATCTGTCAGTAACAAAAAGGATCACTTACCATTACTAATGTAACATGAACGTAACGTAACGTACGTACGTGACTGTTGCCCTGCTTGGAGGCATCAACATCAGATCGGACAGCAACCAGAACCACTAGACAACAATAACAGCAGCAACGGCAGCAGCAGAAGCATCATCATCATCATCAGAAGAAGAGTGGCAGCATTTAGCCAACACCAGCTAACCAACCTACGAATCCAGTCTACTATCAAAGATGTTAACCTGTCGCTAACATATGAACGCACTTTAAGCCCCGCACAAGGGTAAAGAAAACGTCAAAGGTACAGTGAAAAAAAGAGAACGAACTCTCGAAAAACAAAAGACCCCGAAAGACGATCAGTTACAACATTAAAACGCTGTTAAGTGGGGAGGAAAACAAATGAATCGTAAATTATGAACTGAAAATGGGACCCGTGTGGTTGGTTGGCTGGCTAGCTGGGACGATTTGTTGGTCTGTGTCGCTTAAACATCAATATGTATTGTTTGTGACCAACGAAGAATGTGACAGTGCGACAAACGATAGGCACGACATTAAACAAATAGGCAACCAATGTTACAGCACCATCATTATTCTTTTCTTTCGCTTCAGTCCAACAGCAGCGGTTAGTTTTACAACTAGCCAGCCAACATCATTACCAAGTACTAAACCCATTCGTTTGTCCCTTCACATTGTCCCAAATGTCCATCATTTTAAACTGAGATGAAGTGGAGAGGGGGAAGAGGTTTACCTGAACTAAAGCGACAAAGTAGTAAATTTTAATCTAGAAAACAAAGCCGAGACATCGACGACATCAATGACCGGCCATAAAGCGTACCAAAGGTAAAAGAGTAAAATGTCGGCAGATTAGAACAGCTTAGATGGCACATTACAACAGGACATTAGTGTCAAATAAGTTACCGCTAAGTAACCACAAAAAAACAAAAACAAACTCGGCCGAAGAGAATCACTAACTGACAGATGAGCTGGTATAAACAAACGATTGGGTTTTTATTTTCTAATGCAGGGAGGAGGGGAGGTAACGAATACCTGTTGATAGGATTTTTTAACTGATAGACAGTGGTTTAAATAAGAAGGGTTTCAAAAAATATTTAATGATGATATCGAGAAGAGTTACTTAAAAATCCCCAGTTAGAATTAATACAGGACTCAATAGCACAAAAAAACTATTAATTTGAGGTCTAATAAACCTTCCGAACCTATATTAAAACAAGTAAGCAAAGGCTATAGTCGTGCTGGACCGACCATGTGATACCCTACAACACTACAATATGTTGGAAGCCCCCTTATATCCAAATCCATTTGCCCAACATTTACCGTCGTATTTTGCGATCATCTCCAAAAGCAAGAGGCGCCTCTGTATCTCCAAATTAAGACTCTTCTATACGATCTTCTTGTCTAGGATATTTGGCTATATTCATCAACGAATCAGCAAAAAAAGGCGAAAGTTCGCATTTTGTGTGTTTCGGCTATCGCCTGTAAGTAATGCTGGTATTTTTCTCACAAAAACGTAGTGGTCCATTCTACCCGCTGTCCTAAACTCTAACTTCATGCGAGATTTCGTTTCCTTTGGTTTCTATTTTTGACCTTTATAACGGCTACAAAATCAGAAACATTTTTAGTTTTTGGTCCATTTCAACCCCTAAATATATTGCGGACATGTCTGAAAACAATAGGCCTAGCCCTTCTGAGCCTAACACTACCCTTTTCGTGAGGATCGGACGATTATTGCAATCTGTATATAATATCCCAAACTTGTGTTGTAAGGTGGAAAAATATTACAAATGTACACTTCAATATTATAAGTCAAATTGAAAAAATCGCATGCGATAAAAAATATGAAAAAATAAAAAAATGTCACAAAATACTACAAAATCTAGATTTACATCATTTTTCACCTATTTTTATGCGATTTTTTTAGATTTTATACTTTTAAGTCAAGAGGGCATTCTGCATTGACAAAATTTGTCAAAATCGGTCCAGCCACTCATGAGATATAAGCATTCCATCTAACATTCCTTTCCTTTGTATATACACATTATATATATTTCGCTATATATATCCGATATATTTACTATCGGCATCTACGTAACCGTCAGAATTGACCTGTTCGTCTA